GCACGACGACGACCTGCCGCTGCTGCTGCACCCACTCCTACACCTTCTGCGCCTGCCGAATCGCAAACTTCGCAGGCCGAACCAGAGCCCTCGAATGCGCCGGCGACTGAGCCTCCGACTACCGCCGAGCTACCTACACCAGCCGCGACCCAAGAATCTGTCACAGCGACTACTCCCCAAGCTGTCCCCAGTACAGCCGAGTCTTCTACAGCGCCTCCGCAACCGACCCCGAACCCTACCCAGCCACTGCCTACTCCAGAACCTACCAATACAGACACCCAGACACAAGCCGAGAAAGAGCCCCATGCCGCTCCACAGCCCTCGACAGACCGGGGTCTCACTACCCAATACTTGGAAGATGCAGGCGATGGCGGCAGGTCACCTAAGCGGCGCCGTATAGAACCACCCGTACAATTAGGCACCCCAGCGAGTCAAGATGTCGCTGCAACTGGAGGAGATACCACGGGCCCGTCACAGTCGGCACAACGAGAAAACGGAGTAGCTGCACAACCACAGCCAGAGGTCGAAGCTACGGCCGTTGTCGATACGTCGGTACCAGCGAACAACACCGGCGAACAGACTGCCGACCCGAATGCCTCCGCCCCTACTGCAGATGCCCAGGCCCTTCCACAACCGCGAAAGAGGAGGAAGCTTCCATGGGCAGCGGTGAACCACCCTCCAGAGGGCGAAGAAGAGGCTGCGGCTGCGGCGCCGACTCGAAAGCCTCGCCAGCCACGCAAGAAGAGGGCCGCTGCAGCAGATCCAGATGCAGAACACGTTGAACAAGAAGGGGAAGACGAAGAAGACGCTCAGCCCACCCGGAAGCGAGCTGCCGCCAAGCCCCGTGCAAGAAAGAAGGCCACCGAACCCGCTACACAAGATGGCGAGGAAGCTCCAGCGTTAGCGAAGAAAGCCAGGAAGCCAAGAAAGACCAAGGGGGCTCTGAGCAGCGAGGTCGTCGAAGGCCCAGAAACTGAAGTCGGCCGCATAGCAGATGAGATTGTAGCAGCAGCCGTGCGTCGCAAACCCAAAGCGAAGAGGAGGAGAAGGGCCACTTCAGAGGGCGAAGAGGGCGAAGAGGTGGATGGAGTTGAAGGCGAAGAAGGCGCAGTCAGGGAGAAGAAACGGAAGGGGAGACCACCACGAGAGCCCACACCATCCGACGCCGAAGACCAGACGATTGACCCCAATGAAACCTATATGGATACTCTAGCAGCCCGGGATCTTCGCGTTGGAAAGCTGTCTTCACGGGAAAAGCAAATGCGTACCATCGATTGGGATGCCGTTAAGCAACGTCGAAGAGAAGAAGACAACAAGAACATCCCTTCGAAAGCAGATCAAGAGAAACAGGACAGACTTTTGGCAGAAGCAGGAGCAGAGCTGGCGGCTTCACAAGTTGAAGCGGGACCCAGGTATCGTGCGAACGCAGCAGGCGAGTTGGAATTAGATCCCACCACTGTATTTATCGACCGAGAGGGCGACGCAGACCGTCTCATCAGCGACATGACCGTCGTTGAAGACCAAGACATCACCGCACGCCTCACAACCCGCAGCTTCATGAAGAACAACAAGCGCTTCCCCAACGAGTTCCTCCTGCCCGGCCAAGGTCGACGTTGGACCACGGACCTCACGAACCTGTTTTACGAGGGCCTCAGGTCCTTCGGCACCGATTTCCAGATGATATCCCAAATGTTCCCCGGCTTCACACGCCGCTCCATAAAAACCAAATTCACCCGCGAAGAACGCGACAACCCCGACGACATACGCGCCGCTCTCCAAGGCCGCTGCGAGATCAACGGCGATGGCTGGAATACGTTCCTACAGAAATCGGAAAAGACCGAGGCCTCTTTCGCCGACACGGACAGGATCAAGCGCGAAATGGCCGCAGAGGAAGCAGAGTATGCGGAGAAGATCGCCAAGGCGAAAGCGGAAGCCCAGGAGAGGAAACGCCAGAGGGAACTTGCGGGTGTGGATCAGGATGGGAATCCGATTGGTGATGGGTCGAATAAGGAGAATGGGAAGGGCAAGAAGAAGAGGGGGAAGAATAAGCAGGTTGCTTTTCAGGAGGAGCAGGGCGTGGAGATTGTGGGCGAGATTGGGGATGATGATACTTGGGGGCAGGAGTAGTGGGTGATGTGTGATACGGCCGTGGCAATGATTGATGGATATGATACCCTTTAGATTCTACGGCCTCTGAAAGCAGGGAAATAGAACAATTGATGCATGATCATGCATGTCGTCGAGTGGGAGTGAAGGCGTTTCATGGGGTGCTGACAGCTTTGTCTGTGGGTGTTACGAACTGTCCATTAAGCGCTGCTGGACATTATATTATCGCTGATGTGTTCTTGTTGTTTTGTCGTAGTCTTGGCGGCATGAGATTTTCTACGACGTAAATGAGGCTGATTGTTGCTGCGCATGACGTTCGTGGCTGCCTGGTCACGTTTACACAGCCCCCTCGGCTCCCTCCCTACTCAACATTTGTTGTTGCCCTTTACCATTCTTCCATCTCACTGTCAGCAACCTTTCCGTCATCATCTTTGCGCCTGCTAAAGCATACGATCTGGCATTGACATACGCCATGCTGTGCCACTTCTGTCAGAACCTCGTTTTCGTACCCGTCGAGGAAGTCAGCGTGCAGAATGCCGATTGGTTAAATGACCCAAGCTTCATCATCAATCCCAAAAAATGGCTTGTAAGCGTACACCAGCCTTCGAGGAAAGCGTTAGAACTCTCAGCCGGCCAAGGATGTCGAGTGTGCGCCATGTTCTGGTTTCGACTATTCTACGACACTGTGGCTAGTCATGTGCGTCATGATAGCGACCCCGAAGGTGCACCTATTTTACTCTCTATGGAGCAGCTTTCGTGGGGAAGAGATTTTGAACCGGAAGATCCAATCTTGCACCAGATGAATCTGCGCTATGGAGAACAAGTAGCTTCACTAAGGATACACAAGCCTATCTCTGGTATAACTGATGAACATGTGTGATAAGCCTAGCTGACATGGGCTGCAGACAGAGTAAGCACCATACTCGATCTCTCCTGTGTTCTCTCTTCACGCCCCGAAGAGCAATGCACTCCCATCGGTTCAGCAATCGACAACCACACAGGATCTGACCACAGCATGGATCTGATAAAGACATGGGTCCAACACTGCCAAAAAGAACATCATCACTGTAACACGGAAGTTTCGTCGCAAACGCTACCGGTACTACCCACCCGGGTGATCGAAATCGAAACTGACGGCCAAGCCCATATCATGGAAACCAAGGGAATGAGAGCAGAGTACCTAACACTGAGTTATTGCTGGGGTCAGGGAAAGAAAATGCTTTCCACCCTAGGCTCGGGCTTATATGAACAGTTCAAACAAAAGTTACCACTCGATGATACAATGCCCAAAACCTTCAGAGACGCTTTGCAGGTTACTAAGGCTCTTGGACATCGTTACTTATGGATAGATGCTCTCTGCATCATACAGGATGATGTCGGAGATGTAGGGAAGGAAATGGCTGAGATGGGAAGCATATACCGACAGTCGACGTTGACGATATTTGCAGCGCATGGTCCGGACACAGATTCAGGTCTCTTCTCTAAACGCGACGCTCGGAGCACCAAATCCTGTAACGTTCGTATAACTCTGAAACTGGACAGTAACTTTATGCAAACATGCATATCAATCCAGGCTTTCCCCCTAAATCGTCGCAGTGCTCTACAAACAAGAGGATGGGTTCTTCAAGAGGAGGTGCTGTCGGGACGCTTACTGACTTTTGATACTAACGGAGTCGGATGGTCTTGCGTAACGACATTCGCGCGCGAAAGCGTTCCGTGTATATCAATGTTTAATGATCAGGAAGAAGCCACCAAAAATATGTGTTTTCGTACCAACGACGCGATGCGGCTGATAGTAAGACGTCCAGACATTTTCAACAGGCTCTTGACTTCATCGTACGATCGGAAACGAAACAATCACTTCGATGTATGGAACGATATGGTCGCTTACTACACGAGAAGGGCTCTGAGTGTTGACTCCGATAAGCTGCTTGCAGTTGCAGGCTTGGCAAGTCTTATGGGGAAACATTATCATCTCACCTATGTAACAGGTCTGTGGAAAGAAGATTTGCAAGTTGGACTATGTTGGATGGTTGTTGGGCGGAATGATATGTTTTGCAAGAACGGTCCAAGGTCCATTACCGAAAACTTCCCTGATTACCTTGCGCCAACTTGGTCTTGGGCTTCTGCGCACGGTATGTGTGTGGATTCCTTCAAGCCTAGTTTAGATCGCCTTCCAGATGACGGATTACAGGTCATCGGTGTGGAAGTCTCGCACCTACCAGGGACCCCAGCAACTTTCGGCTACATCAAATTCGCTAAACTATCTGTCTGTACCAAAATGCGGCGGATATTTCTGGCATCGAGTCCAGAATATTGGGACCAATATGGCTTCCCTACTATTGACGAGGACACAGGCTCTTTCTGCGTTGATGCATTTGACGCACTTACGGGGTCCTTCCTTTGCATTGTCTCATTGGATACATTAAAAGTCTACGAGGATATCGAGACACGATACTCGGCTGACTGGCTGCTCAAGAATGCCCATTCACCTCTGGAAGGTACTGCTGGTGGAACTTTTCGCACCTATCAACTCTCATCCGATGGATATGAAGCCTGGTTCGTGCCCTGTCTCGTCCAGAGAAACTACGTGGGAGACCGTGAGATGGTCACTCTTGTTTTGATCCCGATCAACGCCGATCGACGGGAGTATCGAAGGATTGGCATGATGAAGCTCATGTATAGAGAGTGGGATAGGTTAATGGTGAGCAAGGATGCAGATGAAGATCGCGAAATCATCCATATCCTCTGATCGCGATGAGCATGTCAAGGAAATCACCGACACCGCTATTTCCATATCAGACGCACGATTCATACCCAAAATAAGGACTATTACTGGTATGGATTGGACGGTGTTGTTCTATCCGATCGGCTCATACACTTCGCCAACGCCTCTACTCATCCCACCCCGTCCTCGCCTTGATAGCATCTGCCGCCTTCTCCGCGATAGCATAAACCGTCGTACAAAGATGCGTCGCCGGCAAATACGGAACAATACTCGCATCAACCACACTCAACTTCCCAACACCATAAACCTTCAAATCTGTTCCTACAACACCACCAAGTTCTTCCGGAAGCATCGACGCCGTGTCAGCCATATGAACGAACGTAGGATCCATCGTACTGCGCAGATACCCTTCGATCGTAGCGTCACTGGTGACATTGGCTCCAGGCGAGAGCTCAACAGCGCCGAGACCAGAGAAAGAGGAGAGAGTGTTGAAGCGCCGCGAGAAGCGCACCATTTGTACGGCGAATTTGATGTCCAGAGGGTTGGAGAAGGTGCGCCAGTCGACTAGTGGGCCTGATGCAGGATCAGCCGGGTTGATGTTTACGGTACCCCGACTCAATGGGCGCATGATCGCAGCGTTTCCTATGGGCCCTTCTGCAAAGGTGAATTCAAAGGCTGCGGCATCGTCGCGTGCGAGGTATTCGGCGGTGATGTTGTGTATAGCTTTGGCGCCTGCAACGAGCGTCTCATCGTATTGAGCTGGGAGGTAGGGAGTCGGATCTTGAGCCGCGACAGCATCGACGAGGGCTTGCCAACCTTCTGGATCGACAGTCCTGAGGGGTAGGAAGGCAGCCTGGTTGCCCCGCGATGTCGTGAGAGGGCCTTCGCGCGACTGTGTGTACTCTTTCTCGGCTTCGGTGTAGAAGGTCTGGTTCGTTGCCAGGGCTCCAGCGGTGGGGAAATATGGGTTGGTCGTCCAGTTCCAGACACTGCCTCCAAAGGGATGGTCTTGAAAGTTCGCACCTACACCAGGTAGATGCTTCTTGACCGCTATACCAGCCCCCTCAAGAACACTCTTTGGGCCAATACCGCTGCGCTGCAACAGCCAGGGAGTCCAAATTGCACCCGCCGCAACGATAACCTCCTTCCTCGCCTTCACAACACTCTTCTCAGTACGTCCCACCTTGACCATACTCAAACCGACAGCTTCCAACTCCCCACCCTCCTTTAACAAAATCTCAGTCGCCTGATACCCCGTCAAAAGATGATAATTCCGCCTTTTCGCGTACGGTTCATAATGCGCCGTCCTTGCATAACTCCTCGTCCTCAACACGGGATCCAACGCACTCGGCGCCATGATCGACCCAATCGCGTCTCCCGCCGCAGCTTCTTTCGGCTTCTCCACACCAATCTCCCTCCACGCATCCCACAAACGGTCTTGACCGGGGAACTGGTACGGCGGAAAGGAAACCTGAATCTCACCATGTCCACCATACGCCGCATCCACATCCCACGTGTAGTTGTACTTCTCCGCCACTTCTTCACTCGGCGGCGTGAAAGTGACTGATTTCTTGAAATACGGAAGCAGGTCTTTGAAACCCCAGCCTTTGTTGCCGAGGGCTTCCCACGCGTCGTAGTCGGCGACGCTGCCGCGGTCAAAGAACATGCCGTTTACGGCACTGCTACCGCCGACGATGGCGGCTGCGAGCGGGCTCGTGGTGTCATTATTGAGGCCGGCGTTGGGGACGGGCGTGAAGTTGAAGTAGCGTTCGGGAGTTGGAGCGAAGCTTAGGGTGTTGGCTGGGACGAGGATGCTGGGGTCGTTTACGAGGTTGCCGTATTCGATCACGAGGACGGTGTCTGTGTGGAATGTTAGGATGAGAGGGTATGGGGGTGAAGATGGGGGCTAGGTTTGCGACTTGCGCTTTCCGTTCTCTGTTAGTCTGTTTGCGACGGTGAGGCCCGATGTGCCTCCTCCTACGATGATGTAGTCGTATGTTTGGTTTACCGGCGCTGTGATGTGTACAGCTGAAACTCCAGCAGCTGCGAGAGCGCTGATGAATAATTGAACGGATGAAAACACCATGTTGATCAAACTTTAACGTTGGCCAATTCACCTCCTGCTCTCCAGATACGTCACCTTATATACCAGACCGAATCCCATGAGCCACCTCAGCAACCGCTCCTGCATCATGCACATCCAAATTATCCATACAAGCCGTTCCACCCTTCCAGCTCAAAATTCAGAAGTCAAAGAAACTTACAAGGGCCAAATGCACACCCAATGCATACCACACGGCCTATACCCGCCGAGCCCTTCCCTTACATAGCTACTCATCGCTCACCTTCCACATCGGATCTACATCTGATCCTCCAAAAATATGAGCCGCCATCGCCCCACACCCGCAAGCGGACGGCAGAATTACCGCCCGTTCCAGAGCCGCGGAGTCTCCACAGTACATGCAAGAGCAGGGGGACTAAAGGTATTTTACATTAAGATAAATATATAAGCTATAGAGTATCTTTAAATAAGTATCTAAGTCTAGTATAGCTCTCTACTAGTATTAAAAAAGTTATAAAATAAAAGTAAATATAATATATCTTTAGCTTAAAGAAGCTTAAGCTAAGCTTTATAGCTTAGTACTTAAAAATTACTTAGTAAAGTAGCTTTTTTTATAAAAATTAAGTAATAATAATACTTTATATATAACTATAAAACTTATAATATAATAACTATAGCTTATTAGTTATAATAAAGTAACTAAGTATTATAAAGCTTTATAATAATATAAATTCTTATATAAAAAATATTTATTATATAGCTTTTTTACTACTACTTCTTTCTTTATTACTACTACTATCTTTACTAGTATCTTTATAACTTTTCTTCTTATTAAAATTTTTTTTTTTTTTTTTAATATATATAATATTTATACCTACTAAAAAATAGTATATTAAGCTACTCTTTAGTAAACTCTTTATAGTTAGCTTTTTTATAGCTACTTTTCTAAGATCTTTTTTAAAGCCTACGCTAGTAAAAACTAATATAAGCTATCTTAATAATACTATATATAAGAAAGCTTTTAAAGTACTTAAGCTTATTATTATAGCTAAATTAAACTTAAGATACTAAGCTTTTTTAGCTTATATAAAGCTTATTTAAAAAGATTATATAAATATAGTACTTTATACTTATATAAATAGTATAAATACTATATAAGTTTTACTTTTTATATTTAGTATTCTAAATTATAAGCTTAGTATTAATATTTAATACTAAGTAGATACTATTATAGTAGCTATAAAAAAGAAAGATAAAAATATAAATAAGAACTTTAAAAATATTTTATAAAAAAGTAGTAGGTAAGTATAAATAGTAGTAGTTATTTATAATAGATAGAAATATAGATTAAGATTATATTACTTATAAAATACTATATTATTAAGTAAATAGTAATCTTAGACTAAAGTTTTAATATTTCTATATAGACTACGCGCTAGTATAGCGCTAGACCTAATTAAAATAAAAGTTCTAGGTTTAATTTATAATACTACTCTCTCTCTCTTTTTAGATAAGTTCTAATATTTAAGAACTTTTAAAGCTAGTATATTATAAAAGTAATATTATATCTAAGCGTAATAAATTCTAAATATAAAGAAAATATCTATTTTATAAAAGCTATATAGGCTAAAGTATCTTCTATAATCTTTACTATAATATATCTTATATCTCTACCTTATCTTTATATTACTCTATTATTATAGCCTAGTAGTATTATTTAGAGTACTTAAGTAGCTTTAGAGAATAGTTAGTAATAAAGTAGAGTAGTTAGTAATAAGGTATAGAAATATTCTATAATAGTTAGTATACTATTAAGGCGCAACACTAGTGTTGTAATTACTATACTTCTACGCTATTATAGACTTTTATTACCTTTATCTTAATACTAGTTTAGTAGAATTATAATCTTTAAGTTAGTATTACTTAATAAAGCTATAATAAAGATTCTATTATTAGAAAGTATAGTAGTTATAATAGTAGTATTAATAGATTCTAAGTATATTAGTTTATATAGAGTAAGTATTATCTCTAGTTAAGTATTACTAGTAAGATAATATATAGAGATAGTCTTTCTAATATATAGTAATTTATTATAATAGAGTATTATATAACTACTTATAATATAATAGTTTATATAGCTATAGTTAAGTATAATTATTACTTTAATAAAGTATTATTATTATAAGTTTCTACTTATCTATTAGTATACTAAACTTTATATATAGGTTTAGCTTTATAGACTTCTATTAGTAAAAAGTATTAATAAAATTAGTAAAGTTTATAAAGTTTATATAAAGTTTTTAAAATAGATTATTAGAACTTTTTAGAAAGTCTATTTATTAGACTTTATACTATAGTAATTTTCTTCTACTTTAGAGCTCTAGGTTAGAGAGTATTCTATTAAAGTAGCTATTAAGAATAGCTTTAACTATATAGTTAGTATTATTATTAATATTAAAGTTAGTAAGCTTAATATAATCTTTATTATTTTATAGTTATTTTAGTAGTAGTTACTTATTTACTTAATAAAGAAGCTATAAGTAGAAAATATTATAAACTTATATTCTAAAAGTAAGAGTAACTTTATAAACTATATTATTAATTACTTATATTATAAGAAAAAAACTATAGTTCTTAAAATCTAGTAACTAATTTAGATAAGTAGTACGTAAGTTATAAAAGTCTACTATAATATAATTACTAACTTTAAATTTAAAAGTAAGTAAGTAGTAGTTATTAGTATATTTTATCTACTTTAACTAAGTCTAAATAAGTTATTCTTTTAAGTAGGCTTAGAGCTTATTAATCTACTCTATAAATTTATTAGTATTAAGTTAGTTATATTAAGTAGAAATAGTAAGCTACTCTAGAGCCTAAGCTAGCTTAATACTAAAGTATAGATTATATCTCTTTATAGTAATAAAGGTAGAAACGTCTATACTAGTATTTATAGTAGTATTAGCTTTAAACTCTACTATAAGTAGTAGAAAAGTCTAGTTATCTTACTTATAGTTAATATATACGTAAAAGTATTACTTTAGAAATATATTAGTATTTTCTATTTAACTATTAGTCTCTAAATAATAAGTAATTAATAACTTTAGCTTAGTCTCTAATTATTAGTAGAGTTAAGTCTAGAAATAGAAAGTAAACTAAAAGCTATAATTAGATATAATATACTTTAAGTAGCTCTTCTCTTTTTATATAAACTTAATAAAAGCTTTAATAAAAGTATTAATATATAGATTAATAACTAGAATAAACTTTTTCTTCTTACTAAGCTTATTAATAATAACTAGAATATTCTTATATATTTAGCTATTATTAGTATATAGAGAAAAATAGATAATATAGTCTATTAAGATAGATATCTAGTACTAATTAGAAATAGATAATAAGTAGAGAAAGCCTTACTTTTCTTTTTAGTATAACTTAATATAGTAGTAGATAAAGTATACGCTAGTATACTAAGTAATATTATATATTATATAAGGCTAGTAGTACTAATACGTAAGCTTTATATAAGTCTTATACTTTTTACTATATCTACTTTTATATAAGACTTAATAGACTTAGTTTAAAACTTATGTATAAAAGTTACCTAAGTTAAAGATATAAATTTTATTATAGATATATAATAAACTATTAAAAAGCTTATAATTACTAAGCTTAAAGTATAGCTTATAATTAGAGCTAGTAATATTAGTAGATAGGCGTTTTTAACTACTTTACTTAGTAGTAATAATAGCTTATAATAGCTTATTATAAGAGTATACATTATAAATAGTATTAGTAAGATTACTAGTTTTATTATTAATACGCGCGCTTTTTCTTTCTTTTTTAGCTATAGTATTAGACTTACTTATAATAGAGCTAAAGTAAAGAGTATCTAATAAGTAGCTCTTAGTTATATTATCTATCTTACTATTAGTATATATTTAAGTAGTAGTATTAAGAACTAATAAATAGGTGTATTATAAGTAGTATAGTACTAGAAATACTACGTAGTAGGTATTAGAACTCTAGTAGCTAGTAATTATAGTAACGTATAGAGATAGGTTAATCTAATATAGTTTAATAAGCATCTACTATTAGTATTAATATTACTTATTATCTATATCTTTAGAAAGATTACTAGAATATTTTATTAAAGTATTAGGCTTTATACTCTATTAGCTAGAGTAGTAAGTAACTTTAAAGTTAAATTCTAAGAAAAACTCTAACTAGTAAGCTTAGTAGTAATTAAAGTGCTTATTTATTATAAAAGTCTAAAAAGCTTAATAGTCTATAAGTACCTTAACTAGATTAATAGTACTAGCTAATTTAAAGTGCTACTCTTTAAAAGCTTAAATAATTACTAAAAGTTTTTTATTATATATTTTATAATTATACTTAGCTAAGTTTATCTTATATAATAAAAAAGTAATAGACTATAAAATACTATTAAGTTCTATCTAGAAAAGTATAGTAGTAGTAATAAAGTTAAAAGCGTTTATCTTAAGCTATATCTTATAGTCTATATTAAAGTATATAAGTATACTAGTATTTTAGAAAGCTTACTTTAGTAACTAGAAGAACTTAACTACTTTAAAGTTTAGAGCTAAAAGAAATACTTTTTTTCTATTAACTTTAGTTAGCTTAGTAAAAAGCTTAGCTAGAGAGAAAAAGCTCTTAATAAAGTAATAGTAGAAGTTTATAAATTCTAAAAATACCTAGATATTTTTAATAGTCTATAAAGTTTACTAATTTAAGACTATAGCTATCTTCTTTAGATCTATCTCTAGTTTATTTATTATTAGAATTAGACTAAAGTATCTAACGTATTTTATTAAAAAGAAACACTTTAATATATCTAAGAATATACTAGCTTTACTAATCTTTTCTAAGATAGTAAGTATATAGTTTTTATACTTACTTTTATTATCTAAATATATAAAAATATTATTAAGAAAAGCTATATAAATTATATCTAAGTAGTTATATAAAGTTTTATTAATAAAGATTTAGAAAGTTTAAAATATATT